GTGTGTGTGTGTGTGTGTGTGTGTGTGTGTGTGTGTGTGTGTGTGTGAGATAAGTACATTTTCCCAAGCACTCGGTACAAGTTTGGGCTACAACATGCATGTTTTGAATGTAGATTTTACATATAAAACAGCATCTTACAAAATATGATGCAATGCCATAGATTTAAGTACATCCGCAGTCTAAACAGTAGTTCAAATTAGCTACTGCTCGCACATAAAGTTATCTGTTGTAATAATTCAACAATATATACAGCACTCTAAAAGAGGTCATGCTGCATACTGATGATGATTTTACTGATTATATTTCTGTACTTAAATACTCGTTTCTTCTGATAAGTCTGATCAAACCCCACCGTCAAAGTCCTGATTTTTCTTCAACTAGAAATATGTTGTTTTTACTTTGAATGTGGAAATTTTAGTCACAAATATTTCACTTTAAAAGGATGTACTAAAGTACAATTTTAAATGCAGGATTTTTTTTATTAATGGAGTATTTTACAGTGTAGATAATTAAGTTAATTTAACGTTTATTTATAAAAGGCGTACCAATAAGGGCAATCCAGAATGAAATCTAAAATAAATAAAACACGACAAATTGGGATAAAAGCTAAGTTAACCTTAAACATGTTCACCTCACTAACCTCTAACATTGTTCGGGAATGAATGAGGATCACTTCAGAACTGGGGTGCGTGCGTGCACGTTTATGCCATCGCAACGATTGATCAGCCCCCTTGGCTACACCCCCGTTTGACCGAGTGAAGGCCGGCTTTTTTCAGCTCCTCCTCTTATTGACCCCTTAGCTTCTCCTAGCCTCTAGTGCTAATGTACCATTACGTAATGCTTCAGTTTGACTCGGAGTGATGACCACCGCTGTCCAGCGGAAGCCATGTGAATGGCTGAGTGAGTTTAGTAGCACCTGGGCGTTTTGTCCAAACAATCCAGCCAATTAAATTTTGAGTGCATGTTGCACCTTTTCTGCTTTTACTTGAAGGTTTTTAAGTCAGAGGAGCATCAGATCGAACTTAACAGAGGACCGATGGGTTGAGAGGGACTGCCAAAGATTCTGACTTTAAGTGGAAATATGAGTTTGGTGTGTGTGTAGTGGAGAACACTAACTTTATCATACTTCCATCCGACTATCTATAGATATTTATGAATGTCAATCAGCTACAAGTTAGTAAAATTACACTTTGTTCTTGAGCAACAAGGGTGAAGAAAAGCGTCTTTGCCTCTTTCTTTCCCTCCTCCTGTCTTCTCTTTAATGATCAAGCGAGAAATCCTGATTGAGCAAACACTGCGGAGGAGAGAGAGGAATTACCTGCTTTTCTCTCTCTCTCTCTCTCTCTCTCTCTCTCTCTCTCTCTCTCTCTCT